CCCCCCCCCCCCCCCAAAAAAAAGCCTGTCTATTAAGTAGAGTTCTGATAAAAGACTTGTAAGAGCAGCAAAACCTCTTCAAAGCTTTTCTACTCCAAGCATAGAGGGAGAGGCATAGCAAGAGTTACCCATCACTCTACTCTGCTGGTAGCCACTGCAGCAAAATTAGGAGTCTGACCTGTTTAATATCTGCCCCCAACACATACATATACCCCCTCTGGGAGTTGTGGCGATTTCTCTTCCTGAACAAAAGCCAAGTGGAGGAACACTGCATGCTAAGGCAATCGAGCTCTGGGTGAAAAACAACTGGTGCATTCCAAGGGGTATATTCCCTGATGGTGGAGTGAAGCTACACTAAAAGTTCATTGAAACAGCTTAGTATTTTTACTTCTCAGTAGTAGGTCTTAGTGTTTGTACAGCACCCTGTGGTCCTCAAACAGCACTGTAAACAGGCAAATTATTATTGTATTTGTAGCTCCAAGTGCCCCAATAAACTGGCGACGAGGGAAACTCCTGGGACAGGGTGCCTTTGGTCGTGTGTACTTGTGCTACGATGTGGACACGGGCAGAGAGCTTGCAGCTAAGCAGGTCCAGTTTGACCCAGACAGTCCTGAAACAAGCAAGGTACCTGAAAGATAACTCTCTTCAGAGCTACTGAATCTAACCATGCACACTTTGACACCTTGGAATGTACCTGTGTCTGTCTGAAAGCTAACACTTTTGCTGCCTCTGCTATGGCTTCAGGCTCCAGGGAGTTGTTTAAATTAACTTTAGCTTGAAACTAAAATCAGTTTTCTTTCTCCTTTTTGGCTCTTTAGCCCTAATTGGTTTGTTGTAGCCAAGTTACAGTCTTGGTTCTTGTGAATCCTGAGTTACTACCATGGCGCTTGTTAGACAAGTATGTGAGAAAAAACAAAATGTGGAAGTAGTGGGGTTTTTTGCCATTCAAAGCTTTTTACAAAGTCCTGGCCATGGGCTGGCCTGGTAGATACTGTGTTGGGTTTGTCTACCATAGCAGGTGTCCATTGCAGGAAGTTTCTAAAGGTTTCTTACTCCAGTTCAGCTTGTTCAAAGGATAATGAACTTATCAAAAAAAGATGACCAGCCCATGCTGAAAACATGGCACTCTTGCTAATGTTAACTGACAGTCCATTTGGATCTGGGAACTGTAGGAAGGAGCAAGTAGAGGTTATGGAGTCTCTAAGTTTGCAAAAGAATAAATAACTTGCTGCCTTCTGCCCTGGAAGCTGAGCTTGAATTACTACTGAGGATTTTTTGCCAGTCTCTTGTTAACGTACCACTTTCCCAACTTACAGCAAGGGCATTTTGAGTTAGGAGGATTGATCCATAAAGATTGAATTGCTATAATGAAAGGTTGCGGATTATTGCACCAAGCTAAATCCTGACGTTCGTGAGCCCTGCTTTTATACCAGGTCTCCTCTGTAAATCACCAAGTAATGCAGAGAGTAGGGAGAACAGGGTAGAATGTACCATATTTACTCAAATCCAAGATGAAGTTTTCCGTTATTTAACATGGTGGGGAGGGGGTGGAGCCCCTCAGTTTTGATTTGAGTAGAAGCAGCTGCTGTGACTCCAACTCCAGCTCCAACCTGGGCTCAGAGTCAAAGTTGGAGCTGCAGCTGCTGCGACTGGCCACCCCACTGCCATCTCCCATCTTTCCCTTTATCTGCTGCTGCCTCTGCCCCCTCCAGCAGGGCTTGGCCCTGCTCCAGCCCAGGGTGCATGGGCAACATGGCTTCTCTGCCCCCAACTTGGCCTGACAACAGCTTTAGCCTGGGCTCTGGCTCCAAGGCCCAGCTGGAGCTACCTCTGCTTCAACAGCTGCTGCGGGGCTGGGATGGAGCCAGAAGAACTACATGGAGTGGGGCCAGAGCTGAAGCCAAAGGATGGGGGGGCAGGTACCAGTGGGTGCAGGTTTGGGTGGGGGTGCAAGGGTCAGAGGGGGCAGGTGCAAGTGGTAGGGGAGACAGGTGGGGGGGGGCCAACGGGCAGGGCCTACACCACTTGACTCCCCCTACCACCTGGCCCCCTGCCATTGCTTTCCCTGCTGCAGCAATTGGTTTGGGGGGGTGGGGTGGAATTATAAGAAAACCCTCCAATATTTAGATTCTATACATATAAAACTATAACAAATTTATAAATTTCCCATGTATAAATTCTAATTATTCTAGGGTCATCGTAAATTTGGAGTTGTCTTGGCTTTGGGTAAATGCATGGTATTTCGGAGGTGCCACAACCTCCAACCCTAAACCATGAGTAGCTGTCCATTAAGAGGCTTCTTTCTGGTTGCATTTATCTGTGCAGTCGCCAGTTTCTTGCTCTTGCAAAGTTGTATCCTCTCCAGGATGGAAAAATATGAATCTGGTAGATTCCTGTGGTAAAAGCAGCTGTGTGGGGTAGAAAAGACTGAATGGGTCTGAAGTAGCGGAGATGGTTCTCAGAGAATGGGCATTCAGCTTCTCCAGCGACCCAGTGGTGCCCTAGTGCTGTTTCTGTTCATTCTGTGCATTTGAAAAGAACCTGAGACCTTTCCTGTGTACTAAACAACTCTAGGCCTAGACTTTTTTGGTTAGTCGTTCTGCTTTGTCTTGTGATAGCTTCATGTGAATGATTGCAGATGCTTTGGGTCTGATAAGAACAGCTTCCTTTCCTAAGCCTGAACTCAAGTAAAGCTCACTAGCATAAATCTGGGCAGGAAGTTAGTGACAGAAACGTAGATATTCCTTAGACTCCATAACCTTGGTCTCTAAAGGCATTTCTGTAGTAAAGTTACTGCAAGAGCTGTTTTATAAATATCTCAACGCTCCGGTGAGGATTATTCCCATGTTCCTGAAGGAGAAACAACTTTTCTCCACGTTCTTTGGCCAAATCCCTCCAGGAAGTCAATGTTGAGGTCAAGGCCAGGAGTTCCTGGTATTCAACCTATTATGCAGCACTGCCCCTGGGTAAAGCCCCACTTATATATGTAGTTACGTGGAGCCAGCTTAATACAGAACAAGCATTAACCAAGTATCATCTGGAACATGCGTCTCTCATGGGATCTGTCAGAGCTAAGGTGATCTGAGGATTGATTTACATTGAGGTGCAAACACTAGGTCAGATTGGTGCCATGAGTGAGGTTGTTGAAACCGGATGTTCCATAGGCACAGCTCCTTATCCACTATATCAACTTCTGCAGGAAGTGAGCGCTCTGGAGTGTGAGATCCAGCTCTTGAAGAACCTCCAGCATGAACGCATTGTTCAGTATTATGGCTGCCTGCGGGACCGAGCAGAAAAGACCTTGACCATCTTCATGGAATACATGCCTGGGGTAAGAGACTGCAGTAAGAACAAAGACTCCTCGCTGGTTACTCTGACCATCCCACCCCACCCTACCCCACTTTAAGCCCTCTCAGCTGTCTTCCTTTTTTGAATATGTCTGGTTCAGCCTTGATGTACTGTCACAGCTGTGCTCCTCTTTGTTTTATTTTCTGTATCACCCTAGTCTTAATCGCACACCTGTCTTCATGGTCCCTAGCTCCCCTGCCATGCTGTGCATGGTACACCCTACCTTAGCTAAGCTCTAAAGCCATGACTCCCTTTTCTCCCTCCCCAGTTAAATCCCTCTTACTGCATTGTCCCCAAGAAATCAGCCAGATAGTCTACAGAGAGAACTATGGATCTATTGTACACCAAAAGTATGATTTTTATATTTTAACCCCCTCACTGACTGCCTTCCTTTGCTACATCTATTATTTGTACTCTTGGATTGGAAGCTCTTCAGGACAGTGGCATTTTTTCCTCAGTGTCTGGAGGGCACCTAAAAAGCTAAGTGCTGCAGGAATACAGATAAGTTTTCAGGTTAGGAAGCACAGCAATGCCATGCATTTGGGTGGTCCTTGCTGTTTGTTAGTGTTGAGACCAGTTACTTCAGCTACTGAAGCCAGGCACAAACTCACATTATGGGGGTGACTGAATGAAATGGTTTTGGAGAATCTGGGAAATGTTTGGTGACTGTCAAAACCTGGACCCAGTTTCATGTGCTTTGATAATGTATCTGTGAGAGATCAGATTGAGAATGTGGGGGTGGTAAGGAGTGAAACGTGGGATAGATTCTAGGTCTGTGCTAGTCAGCAGCAATCTGATTTGGCTTCAGATCCGGCTGCTTCGGATGGCCGTGATCCGATCCAGAGCTCCAGACCGAGTTTCCGCCTCGATCCAGCCGAAGTAGCTTTGGAGTTGCCTCGGAGATCTGACCATAGGGTATAATGGGGAATCAGTGAAATATCTATAACTTGGTTGTTTCTTGTCCGATATGGATGAAATGTGCATGGATGGTAGCCTCTCCTGAGAGCATGAAGCCTGCCAAGTTTCAAGAATATCAGTGCAGGGGTTTGGGGGGAACTGTACCCCAAATTCTTGCAAGCCAAACTCATGTCACGGCTGTGTCACGCCAGGGGGTGAAAACTGCAGGGGTGATAGGCAAGCTTTGTGGCCTTACTGAGGCCACAAAGCCTGCCAAGTTTCAAGAAAATTGGTGTAGGGGTTTGGGGGGAACTGCCTCTCAAGCTGCAGACAAGCCAAACTTGTGCCGTGGGTGACACTGCGTGTGTTGAGGTGCAGCAGGGTGACAGCTGCAGGGATGCCTGTCAGCTGTGGAGGAGATCGGCACAGGGGGAGTCTGTGGCCCTGCACCCCTAGCTGCTGACAGACAAAATTCATGCCAAGACTGTGTCTGTCTTTGGGCAGTTGATTTGTCTGTATTGATTCCTTCCTTTCCCTAGCCTGGTTTTGTAGGTGCTAATTGATGCTTGTTAAGTGTTTATGTAGTAGCTAGGTCCTGTGTATTGAGCTGGTCCCTGAGTGAATCATGATTGATTGGTAACTGGGAACACAGTAGCTTAGCAGCCAGGCCTGCAGTAGTGTCTCCCCTCCTGGCCTCAAGCCAGAGACCATCAGTCCCACAAGTACCCGTGGCATGAGTTTTGCTTGTCCGCAGCTTGAGGGGAAGTTGCCCCCAAACCCTGCACCGATCTTTTTGAAACTTGGCAGGCTTTGTGACCTCAATAAGAGCTACCAGCCCTGCAGTTTTCACTCTGCTATGTTGTAACGCCTAGATGTGATATGAGTTTTGCTTTCAAGAATTTGGGGTGGTGTTCCCCCCAAACCCCTGCACCCATCTTCTTGAAACTTGGCAGGCTTCATCCTCTCTGCTGAGACTACCATCCCTGAAAATTTCATCCAACTTGGACAAAAAACAACAACGTTATAGATATTTTATTGTTTCCCCATTATACCCTATGGCCAGATCTCCGAGGCAGCTCCGAAGCTCTTTGGAAGCTCCAAACTGCTTTGGGAAGCCTAACGGGGCCAGCACTTCAACCCACATGTGCTGCTTCAGACCCCGAAGTGTCCAAAGCTTCTCTGCATCCAAAGCTCTGTCCGAAGACTCGTACAGCCCTAATAGATTATTGTGGAATAGTGAATTCAGGTGCCTGATGCCATGTCCCTCAAGTCCAAGGTCTGTGCTGACTCATGGTAAATTCCCTGGCTCATGCTGGTATGTGTTTTGCTTCAAGAGGAACTTGATGCATTTCCCTTACGTGCATTTGTCCGTGTGGCTAGATAGTTTCTTTTCTTACCTTAAATAACATGAAGTTGCCAATGGCCCCTGACTCGAGATGTACCTGGAAAAGGGTGGGGGGCAGTCTTCCTCAACGTCCTCTAATGTCGCTAAGCAAAGATGGTCTAAGAGTACAGTTTGAGGGCTGGTGTGCCTTATTCTGCTACTCAGCACCATCTGGAGAGAATGGGTTGCAGTACTGGATCCTGGTGATCTTGGGCATACCATTTAATCTATTATTTTCCCCATTGTACAGTAGAAAGTTGCTTACCTTCCTCATAGGGGTACTAAGAATTAATCAGTATGGTAAAACACTGAGATCCTCAGAGAGAGTGCTCTTGTGTGGCTTCTAATTATGCTGTGAACACAGTTGGATAGCAGGTGGATGCCATGGGACCCATCGTTTGTTGCATCTATCTGCAAATCCTTTGTGTGTATGTTTTTGGTGTAGGGTTCAGTGAAAGACCAGCTAAAGGCCTATGGTGCACTGACGGAAAACGTGACTCGAAAGTATACCCGCCAGATTCTCGAGGGAGTCTCATACCTTCATAGCAACATGATTGTGCATAGGGACATAAAGGGTAAGAGCAGCATGCGGTTTGCGTGTACACCATGTGCATGGAATTGTGAAGATGGAGGCCAAGAGTTCCTTATAAGCAACTGAATGGCATGGTTTGGGTTATTCAAAAAAACCCCCAAAACCTTCTACAGAGCCCCCAGCTGATGCATAGCTTTTCTGTGAAGTGTTGTGTAGGGGCCAGGTATAGAAAGAGGAGAACTCTCCATGCTTTTCTGTAGAGGAGCTGAGAAGATGGCACAGTAAGGATGATTTTTTTGAGAGTTGTAATCCTTAAAAGCCCCTATCCATGGCTCTGGATCAGTTTCTCTCACACCCCAATAAAATGAGGCTCTGTTCCTCCTTCCTTTGCTACCTGCACACAGTTGCCTGTTTTGCTTCCTTATTAGTTCCTTCCTAGATTCCCCTCTGCCTGGCCAAATTGCCACCTCCCAGCTGATGGTTACCTAACACTAAACCTGAAGCCAGTTACAGCATCTGACAGTTGTGTTTATTCCCTATTTGTTGTCCTTACCTGCTCTACCTTCCCCATTATCCTTCAGCGTCCTGCACGTAGATCCCTAGGTTAGTCACAGTTTGTAAGCTGTCGGTGCCCCAATATCTTCTTTGGAACACCAGGCTGTCAAAACACAGTTGTCTGTGATCCTGAACAGCAATGGGGCACATTCAGGGAGGAGAGTGTAACCTCCTGGGCAGGTCTTTGAAATATATTTCTCGCATCACTCCCAGGCTAGTAGAGATGAGTACCCTCTGGGGTCTTGTCTGCTTGCTCATATGAACATGTTCAGAGTGTCATCCATGCTAGCAGGTTAGTTAATGGCTTCCCTATCCTTAGTGCCATATCTGTAATCTGCCTCCAGGAAAGTGGGTGGACCCCAGAGCTGATCTGCCTTAGATTCCCTTACAGGATGGGGTTGGCCCATCCTTGTGAGGTGCCTCAGGCAGGGTAGCATGGATCCTGTTATGAACCGAAAGGAAGAAGCACTTCTTGCTCTGTACACATGAGTGTACATCTTTATAGTAAGCCATCCACTAAGACTGACTATTTCTGCCATTTCCCTGTGGCTGAAATAGGTAGGACCCTCAGCTGAGTTAGGCGAGTCTCATTTGTTCATTGCAAGAGTTCAGAGTGGCCTAATTAGTTCCATCTCCTAATTTACTGCTTTCTGGCCAGTTAGGTGTTTGCCAAGCTAGCACCCAAGCAAGACCCTTGTCTGTGTACTGTCACCATTGACCAGCGGGCCCTTTATATGCTGCTCAAGCTATTTACAGAAGCTGTAACAATGAGAATGCCGACTCATCACTTTTCCCCCCCCACCTCCTCATTTCCTTGTGTTTTTTCCCTAAAGTGGCAGCCGTTAGTAAATGGCTTGTTTGCAGCTTGCAGTGAAGAGATGGTGGCTTAGCAGGTCACCAAGCGCTTAATGGGGGAAAGGTCCTGTCAAGGGATTTGGGCATTTCTGGGTCGGATGTGAGCTTCACAGATTGTCCGGCAGCTGGATTGTGTGATAACAGTTGCCTCTATTCTTCTCCCTTTAGGAGCCAATATTCTCCGTGACTCTGCTGGGAATGTGAAGCTTGGGGACTTTGGGGCCAGCAAACGGTTGCAGACCATCTGTATGTCTGGAACAGGCATCCGATCAGTCACGGGCACGCCATACTGGATGAGTCCGGAGGTGATCAGTGGAGAGGGTTATGGAAGGAAAGCAGATGTATGGTAAGCAGTTGCTGATGGCTTTACCTGCAGCTCTTCTGGGGTGCTGTGAGTGGTCTGTTAATAGAAGAGTGGCTAATTGTGGCATGAGTGCCACAAGAGATGCAAGTGAGCTGTGTGTGTAGCACATAACAGATCGGGGATGGAACAGGCAGCACAGTGGCAGATGGCACAGGGAGCAGAAAGCAAATCAGCAGGTCAGGCAGGAAGCAGAAAATGGAGCAGCAAATTGGGCAGGGAAAGGGATTGGAGTGACACTCCAGGAGGGAACAGAGCTTAATTTGTGGCACACCTACCAAAAAGATGGGCCCCCACTGTGTTAATGCATCCGCTCTGCCTCTAGAACTGAATGCAGATTTAGCCTGGATCAGGAAAAAAATAAATTTGAAAATATTTGGCCAGTTTCTCATCTCCAGAGACATGGTGCTGTGGCAGAGTGCAAAGCAAATACAGTATTTTCTCACATACAATATGTACCTTTTCCCCAAAAATCAGCCCCTTAGAATTGGGGGGGTGCTTGTTTTAAGCAGGGAAGTTGTTTTCTTCTTTGGAAAAGCAGCAAGCCTGCAGACACTGTGCATGCCCTGCAGCTGCTAAGATTGCTGCTGAGGTGGCAGAGTCCTATGTTACCATGTTCAGTCATAGCTATTATCTGAGCACTGTAGCTTGTGCCTGAGGCAGCAAATGAGTTGCTGGTACCATCCTAAGGAAGGTTGTGATGTGGAAACAACATCTTATTTGGAGGAATTTTGCAGCAATTTTGGGCCTATTCTTTTGACATTGAGTAAGTCCCCTTGGAAGCATAGCGTGTCCAGGAAATGTGGTACCTCAGTGAACAGTCTGGGTGAGGCAGTTGGCACTAGGAACTTGCTGAACACTTTGTATCCCCACAAGGACTTACGGTCAGGTCATATGGTTGTCCATGATGCTGGGGGAAAAAAAACTTCTACATTCTGCCTTCAAAAAAAACCCAAGGTGTGTGCTTGGTTTTTTTTTTACTGAGGGGGGAGGGGTGTCATGCAAGAAAATATGGTATCACCTTAAGAAATCCTCCTACAAGACTGTAGACCTTGGAACACCAGCTTCTGTGCCCTATCCTACTGCAGACTGCTCCTTCAAGCTATTGCATCAGAGCTTGGGGCAGGAGGGAAAGACCTACATGTCTAATACCACATCTCATGATCTTTACTGTTAAACCTCCATCCTTCCCACGTCTCTTGCTGTGCCACATCTTGATTAGACTGAAATCTCCGTAGGTTAGGTACATGTCTGCAATTTGTCTGTACAATGGTATATGTGATTAGCGCACTGTAGAGGTAAGGCGGGGAGAGATTTGGGTGTTTTAATGGAGGTGTAGAGAGGGGATGTCTAGGAGTGGAATACCATGGGAGACGCAGGTCAGAATTGAAGTGATTTGGCACGCACCGTTGGAAATTGTGGCCATGCTATGATTAGTAGGAGCCTGAAAACAATGCTTATTAAATATAGGAACTAACCATCTTGGATGCCAAAATATTGGACTGGGGGTTTTTTTGCTGGCTGGGACTATACAAACTAAAGTAAACATCACCACCAAAAGCTGTTCTTTGTATTCCTTTTCTAAAGAGAGGACTACAGTATTTTTCATGCAACTAATTAGTAAAAATGTAACTGAATTTTGTCCAGTACACAGAGGGTTAAGCATTGTGGTCTCTCCCAATTTACAATCTCTGGGAGTATGGAGCACATGTACATCCCCCTGGATGGATGCAGTTGTGGATTTCCTCTAGCTGCAGACATGGGTCCATTCCCATCAAAGAGGCACTGCATTGGCTGGGCTCCAGCTTCTACAGTCCTGATCATTATTTTGGGGTCATAATTTTCCAACCCGATCTTAGTTCCAGAAAAGCTGTGCATGGACAAGAGACGCAGAAACGTAATGAATCTAAGCCATCTGGCTTTCAGCCATTGCTACAGGCAGGCCTCTCTCCAATTTTCTTTTTTCCTAAATAGCAAAAAATGTGAGCTATTTGTTATTGCTGGAATAACTTGACATGAAAAACATTCCTGCTGTTTGCTGAATTTCTTAAAGAAACCGGATCTGTCTAAATGGTATAAATCAGTCTAAACAATAATATATCCTTGCCTGGTCTCAAGCAAACCCCAGCACCTCAGCACACATGGTTTGCATTTTCTGTACTCTTTTTGAGTAAGTCTTAGAAAGATGGCTGGAAACCAGTATGAAATTTTCTTGTTGGATTTTAAGGTTTGTCAAGAAATTGTTTCTTTCATACTAGTTGGATTTAATTTCTTCCCTCCCCTGCCTGGGTGATTGGTATACACCATGTCTGTTCTTTGCAGTGCTGTTCAGATGAGGTTTCAGTTCACAGGCAGATGGGGAAATCTTGCCCATTTAACAGAGGATAGTGAATTGGGAAGGGCAGAGCTGCTCTGCCCTGCCCCTGGATTCCTCTGTGGTCATCAGCAGGTTACTTTAAACATCCTTATGCCTTTGTGTGGCAGCAGTGGATTTTGCTCATTTTCCTAAAGGCATTAAAGCTGCCCTTGCTTTCAAAAGCTTGTTCAGTCATTGGCCAGCTTGAATAAAACCTAAGAAAGTTGCTTCCTGTCTGCTTCTGTTTTTCCATCTGTAAAATAGAAGTAATGATACCAATCACTCTTCTGCTGCATTTTGAAATTTACTGATGGCAAACAGAGTATAAGAGCTCAGGTATAGCTTATTGAGCACTTGGGAATTCGGCTGTCAGAAAAGGGGGGAGCTTTCCTTCCACATGGGGATGTTGAAGCTATCAACTTTTTGTGATCTGAAGAGTAACGTTTGTCAAAATGGCCCAGTGGAATTCCTCATCAGTACAAAACATCTCTTCTAGCTTGTGGCTTAGCAAAGTTTCCCCTCTGAGATCTGATGAATAAGCTAGGTGCTGTCCCACTTGCACACCATCTGTAATATTAGTTCAGAAGGTCAAATAATGACACCTTCAACAGCATCTCTGTCACCTGCTTTCCTTGATGGGTAGCATGGGCATTACCTACAGGCACAGTTCGGACACAGCATTGTTGCAGGGATGATGCTTTACCATGCTGTAAGAGCCACACTGAAGCCTAGTTCTCTCCATCTGGAGCTTTGTTGTCTGTGCTGGGCTGGCAGCAGTAAAAAGTAACTATGTCTCTCCCCAGCAGGTCTGGCACAGAATTCATGCAGTTAATGGACTTGCAAGGATGAGACCATTTCTATAGTTTCCTTTCAGAGCAGAGCCCTATCCATACTTCAAAGCCACACTCTATGCACTAAGCTTTACTGCGTGAAACCCAGTCTCATGTGTTTTCCCCTGTCTGCCTCTCCAGGAGCCTTGGCTGCACTGTCGTGGAAATGCTGACGGAGAAACCACCCTGGGCGGAGTACGAAGCCATGGCAGCCATTTTCAAGATTGCCACCCAGCCCACCAACCCTCAGCTCCCCTCTCACATATCAGAACATTGCCGAGACTTCCTAAAGCGAATCTTTGTGGATGCCAGGCACAGACCCTCAGCTGAAGAGCTGCTCAGACATCACTTTGCACAGCTCCTGTACTAAATTACTTCCCTTTTAAGGTGCGGAGTTTGTGTTCCTGTCTGGTATAACCACAACTGGCCAATGTGGTGCTGCATCTTCAAAACGCCAACTCCTGCTATCCTGTTCCTTTGGGTAGGTCAGTGCCAAGGAACCTGCAATCTGCTCTTGTGTCCTGAAGTCTTTGTTGGACTGATGTTCTACCAATGGCTATGCAACACAGAGCTGTGTTTTTGTCTTTGTTCTCTTGATGTGAAGTTGCAGTTGGCTGCATGTTTTCTTCAGGCACAAGCAGAGGGATCCAGGAAAGGTCCCATTGAATGTACATGGGCAGCAGAAATCTGGACTGAAGAAGCTACGCTTTTCAGAGCAGACACGTGGACAGCCATTCCAGCCGGCTCTCCCCACAAGGGCTGTACAGTGTGGGCAACCCTGTTTTCTAGATTCCTAAGTTTTTCCAGGCTTCTCTAGTAGGATCCATCCAAGCCATGTGTCACTGAGCACACATTCTCTATATAATTATATATATTTTTCTTCTTAAGTATTCAGCATCTGAAGGTGTTCAGAAAATATTGATTTAAGAATATGTGAATAGTATTATTTTATAATGAACCCAAGGGATTTGCGGGGGTGGGGGGCTTCTATCCAAATATCAGGATCATTGTCAAGAGGTTCCAGCAGAGCATGGTCTCTACAGAGCCAAGAGTAGAGGACTCTGCTGCTGAGGTGGCAAGTCCAGTACTTGACTGCCAAAGAGCAGGATTAGCTTGTGTCCTCCAAACCAGCAAACCTGTGCTCCTGTTGTACTTCCTTGCGGCTCAACAAAAGTCTCGTGGAAGGGATTTCTGTAGAACAGCTTTCTGCTGCACCGATCTTATTTTAAATTAGTTTTACCAAGCCCTTAAACCAAAGATGCTTTAATCAGTGCCCAAACCTTACTTCAGGGAGGGGTTACCTACTTACATTAGGTCAGACTCATAGACGAGGAAAGTGGGTTGCCCTTTTTTTTTTTTTTTTTACATGGGAAGAAATTGCTGGACACTAGTTTCCTGGGTGAAACCAAAAACAATCCGTCCATGCGTGGGGGTGTTTTGTGAACATGTAAATATTCATTTAAGGCTTCCACGGTCTTTCCAAAAAAAAAATTTCCCCCACATTTGAGAAAGCTGAGCCATGTCTGTCAATGAGGCTAAAGGAAAGAGCCCTTTTTTTTTTTGCCCGTGTTTCTGAAATTAACTTGAAAAATGGTATTGGTCCCCCAGAGATACAGGCATTGCATACTGCAGTCCTCTTGCTTTAAATATGTACAAAGCCTCTGATGTCTAAGTCTCTGGTGGCTTGCCACTCTCACCTGCTGCATTTTGACTGGTACACTAGAAATTCTGGTTGTAGTGATAGAGCACTGAAGTTATGAAGACTTTCTTTAAAAGGACACTCATGGCAGGTTCAGTCATGTTTTAATAAAAGCAAAGCTTCCCCCCCTCCCCATGTGATAAATTACCCCTCAGGATAATACAGCTGAGAAGGCTGAACAATCTGAAGTGGTTTTCCTGGACCAGACTCAGAGCAATGTGTAAGTGATGAAAGCAGGTTTGTATTTTGCCAGATTTGCCTTCAGGCTTTCCTGCTTGAATACAAGAACGCGCTTGTTTGGGTTACAAGCACTTCAGGGCAATTTGTTATGGAAAGGCCTTTCCATACCCTATTTAATTCCAATGGAAACACTCCTAGTAAGCCTCTAAAATCCTGGATTTTTGAGCCAATATCTCTTTAAAAAACATAAGCCAGGTCGCTTAGTTGCCTTGCACCTTGTCGTCATTTATACCAGGGCAAAATGAAGAGGGAACACTATTGGTCTTTTGCGGGAAGTGCTTATGCCAGTTTTGCTCTGCTACACGTTGACTTCCCAAGGTGCAGAGCAATGAAGACTTACTCACATGCATAATCTTAGTAGAAGTAGACTGAGTTGTTTTTCCACCAGGGCTGATAGCATATTCCAGGCTTGTGATGTTATAACTTACAGCCAGCACTTAACTCCTGACACATACCAAAGATTAGAGCCCTTTTCTTTCCTCAATTTGACATGAAGGTGTGGCAGCAGTGAGGGGCAAGATGGGTGTCCTGACCTGACTGGGCACCTTTAACCCTGGCTTGTCCTCAGAAAAAGGATTCAGCTCTGCCACCATAGCCTTTACTCACTATCAAGCACATAGTTCTTTGGGAGACTTGGGGATGAGGAAGTGGTGTAAACTTTTGTTTCAATACAACTAAATCTTCAGGATCTGTTGTGGCTTTTACCTCATGCATAGCTATGGAAGACTGTCCTGGAGCAAAGAGTAACTTGGACTCATATGCCAGGTCCTTTACCCTGCTAAACACCCCCCACCCTCTCCCTGGCTATACTGAAATGTGCCTACTCTGTATACGCTTGTATTCCAGTTTTTATTAATGAGTCAGTAGCAGTTGTACAGTGACAGGGTTCTGTCTGAGAACATGGTATGCCAGCTTGGATTTCTATATTCCAATTCTGTATCTGACCCAATGCCACCTCTTCAGCACAAGAACAAGCCAAAGCATTACTTGTCTGTCTGGAGATGCACTTTTATGAATGTAGTTTGTATCGCTCTTTTTTAGCTCTTTTTACCATCGTGTAAACTTTGATGCCTCATACTTTTTTTATTTATATCGTAAAAGATCATATTTGATGATTTTTATATATATCGACTTGACTGTTATGGGGTGGGGTGGGGTTGGGGGGTGGGAATCAATTTCTGACGCCTTTATGAACTTAAAAAGGAAAAAAAAGCAGCTGGTTTTGCAAGAGAATTTGCCAATGGTTTATAAAGAGTAGTGCCAGCCCCAAATGCCACCTCTGCTTCCTTGCAGGCTCTGTCAGTCACTTGGATTTAATTCACTGAAAATCTAGACTCCTCAATTCATTAGTGGATTGAAGCCACTGGAATAAACTCAAGAATCCAGCTCTCAAATTAAGGCTTCTTTACACTGCCTTAGCAGTGACAAGACTTTGAAGAGGGAATCCATTGCAATATGCTCACTGTTACGGTTAGTTTACATTGCTAGAGTTGTGTACATAAGAATAAAGTCTGGCCTAAAGTTAATCAGTGGTGTCTGTCCCAAGTAACTTTGAAGGAAAAAGGGGCATTCCATGCCTGCTGAGCTCTGGGACCCTCCAGGGATCAAGACTGCATAAGTGAAGCATATTGTAATTTCTGAAGAATAATTCTGCACAGACAGTTGCCCCTGGGGCAAACCCTACTCTAGATTGTTAAAATTAAATGTCTGAAAAATTTCCGTTAGGAGACTGCTGAATGTCTTGCCTGTAAGTTCCTGATGATACTTTTGATATCTTACATTAGCACAACTAATAAAAGATATCAGATTTACCCAAAGAGCCTTGTCTGCCAATGTCCTTAGACCAACACAGCTACAACTATCACCCCGATGATGCATTTAGCAGTGGAGCAAACCAAGCTGATGGAGGGGGAGGTTCATCTCCCATTGAGCTTGTGAGGAAACAAAGTGGCATTTTGGTCTCGCTATGACGATTCTGTGCACTTCAGGTTATTTGCTTGTTCTCCAGTTAACCTGAACAGTCTCTCCCAGTTGCTGTAAGTTTTGGCAATTTGGGTGCTGTGTTTAAAAAAAAAAAAAAAAAAAAA